ATGAGTAATATTAAATTAATAAAATTTTTCAAGATTTTTTGAACACTTTATTGAAAATATAATGATGCATATATTTTTTAAGAGTAATATAGACAATCAAAAATTTTTATAAAAATTGATATTTATACATTCAGAATAGATAATTAAAAGAGATGTTAAAGATAAGTTAGAGATTTAATACATAAGAATATGATGGTATTTAGATATTTAATTATGAAATGATAGAGTGGTCTTTGTATTTCTTTATTAGGGTAAAATAGATATTCAAAAAATTTTCATGTTAAAGTTTTTTTATTAGTAGTATAGATTATAAGGTTTTTTGCTTACTTTCTTTCCTCTATTTTTTTATGAGTAATATTATTGGAACATAAAAAAATGATATAATAATGAGTCAAGTGATAGAAACTTAATAAAAAAAAGTGCAAGATTTACGGTCGTAACAAAACTATTAAACCACATTATTGACACATAATTAGGTCAATAAATTAGATCAATTTTTTAAATCTCAATAACATTATTATTTTTTTTAATCCTCATGACTATTTGTTTACAAGTGTATATTAAATAAAAAAATATCTTGTTATATGTAAGGGTATAATGGTAAATTTAATTTATATTCATTTTCTTTCATTTTATTTTTCCTCTAATACCAAACAATGAAAAAATCAATTCTTCCAACTTTCCATCCATTGTACCAAACAAAAAAGAGTGAAAAAGTGTTTCTTTCCATCGGGGATAGAAGTTTTATCCATCATCTTTTCCATCTCTCCTACCAAATGGATCATTATTCTTCTCTCATGTAAGTCAATAACTACTTAAGTGGGATTTATTTGAGATTTTATTATTGGTTAGTAATATCATGTCATTGTGACATAATATCAACGTTGCATTGAATATATTTTTTAATCAAACAAAACAAGGCACATGTAAAATTTTCAAATTTTATATAATTCTATTTTATTTCATTATTTATAACGGATACAAACAAATCGAGATAATTTTTATGATTAACAATGAATTTCAATATAATATCAATTTGGCACTTAATAGAGAGAGATAGAGAAACATTAAGGGCCTGTTTGGTTTGCGTCTCAAAAAAAAATATCTGAAAATTATTTTTGAAAAGAATTTTAAAAAACTATTTTTAGTGATTTTTTTTTTTTGTCGTCAAACTTGTTTGGTGATATGATTCTTAGAAATTAGCAAACATTGTTTAGACGGTAACCTAAAAAATAATAAAAACAAAAAATGTGGTGGTGAGAGTTATTTTTAAAAACACACAAAACAAATTTAATTTGTTCTCTAAATTTACTTATTTTTTGTTCTCAGTTTTCAAAAAATAACTAGTCATATAATTTTTTCCCTAAAAATTATTTCCAAAAACAAAAAAAAATAATTTATGAGATGTAACCAAACATGGACCAATTTTTTTCTATTTTTCATCCATCTATTTTTTTTTTCATACATGTTAATAGTATTATTATAATATGTGAGTGAAATACCAAGCATATGGGATAAGATATTGATGTTTCTTTTTTTCAAAAAGGGCCCAATAGGGAGAGCAAACGTGCGGCCTAAAGTCATTCAATTATTGGTGACTTTTCCATCACGTTGTCTCTTTGAATGTTGGAAAATTTGGCGTTGGATCCTTTTATATACACTTATTTAGAGATAAATTCGTCCAAAAAAAATTTGTTTAGTTTTAAGTCATTTTTTTGTCAATTTTACTATTGTAACCTTTAATTGTAGAAATGTTATAAACGATGTTTATGAACACAATAATTAGTCATATATATCACCTTCAAATTAGGTTATAATCTTTCAAGTCACAATGTTTTCTAATCCGAAAAATAAGAAATCAGTATTTACAAAAAATTGTTCATATTCAAATTTTAAACTCATTACATTCCATAAAATAAAATTTCAATTTACTATTTTAGTTTACTTTGGACTCCATTAACAAAATATTAATATTGAATATTAATATTTAAAAAATAACAATAGTAACATACTTAACAAAGACAGTAATATAGTCACTAAAAAAATAGTAACATGCTCACAAAAAAATAGTAACATGATAAAAAAGTAATAACAATTAGAAATTTAATTATATCAAAGTGAACATTGATCTTGTAACCAAAATTTAAGAGAACTCATACATTAATACTAAATTAAAAGTATTATAGATTTCGATTTGTTGATTTTTTTATTACGCAAGACAATTGAGTATTCCTTAGTTATGTTACTGTGGAAAAAGTTCATGTTATTGTACCTGAACCGAAAAATTGAGTTCAAAATTTTGATGTCTTGATGTTCACAATTGGTGTTAAGTGTCATAATTCAACTGTCGATTGTGTGTTATTGCTCGTCATTTTATAAATTTTCAATTTTTGGATCGTATTTTCACTAAAATCATTCGAAAATTGATGTTACTATAAAAAAAATTATTGTCTTGTATTTTGTAAAATTAGATGTGTTACTGAGTACAAAATTTTGAAGTTATTGTGAATATTAAAGTGTATGTTACATAATATACGTCTCAAGATTTGCAATTATATATTAAAATTTATTATAGTAACATTAGTGTTAATATAGTAATACGATTGTATTGATAACACGACCTTAATTGTAACTTCAATTATATAATAATATGAATGTTACTAACATTTGTGTTACTGAAACTCTGTTGACATTGTTCAACCTCCTTGTATTATACATTACTGTTGTTAAGGAAATTTTGTGATCTAATTTTGATTCAATAGACTAATAATTTATTCGTATATTAAACTTTTCATATATAACTATCAGAATATATAACTTTCATATAAAACTTCCGTTAATTATCATAATATTTAATAAATAGTTTTCATATACCACTTAATAAAGGGTTTTCATATATATTTAAATGATTTTATTTATGTGACTTTTCATAATTAGATTTTTCTAACACCGTTAGGGATAATTTTAAAATTTAAAAAATAAGTGAACTTACGTATCTACATATAAGTTTAAATATGAACTTATCCCCAAATAAGTTTCTTTTCAACACTCAAGCCATTATAAATCCATTTAAGAGGACTCGCTCTCAATTTTGACTTGAATGTTTTATTATTTCATCGTCCTCGACCCCAATGTCAATTTGCTTGTTCATCATACCACACCATATCACTTAAAAAAATCAACGTTGCTTCCCCAATGTCAATGGTCTATTGTTTTTTACGGAGGTTCCTTGTATATACTTTCTTTTCATGTACATGGATTAATCCCTCATTTATACATGATATATATAATTTATTAAGAAAAATAGATTTATATTGGTATTTTTGAAGGTGAAAAGATCCTTTTTTTTTCGACGAGTAATCTCTTTGAGAACATCTCCAACAGATGCTTCAAATGCCTAAAACAGACAAATTTTAGCTAATCAAAGCTAAAAATAATACTCCAGCAGATAATGTTTATATGTTGTAAAATAGATTTTTGCTACAGTGATGCTCTAAATATAGAGTATCACTGTAGCAATATGTAAACATAATATATATTATTTTTTCTCTTTTCCTCTCATTTCTTTCATTCTCTCTCTTTCTTCCTTTCAGTATTCCAAAAAAATATAATACAAAAGGAATGATAAATAGTAGTATTTAAAAGGAATAGTTAAAAATATAAAGAATCTGATGGAGTGTGTATTGAAAAAATGAGTAGTTAAAATAAAAAAAATTACTTTTTGAATAGCTAAAATAGTTACTATTGTTAGAGATGCTCTAAGTAGGATCTTGTTGGATCAACTCCCAAATAAAGCATCTTAGTTGCCTTCAATAAGCATCAATAAAATCTAAGAGTTACAAATAAGAATCTTACTTAAAATATTTAAATTTACGATTTGTTCCAAGTCCGTGACTTTGGTGAATTTTTTTTTTTTTTGGTTTAATGGTTTGATGTGTTCGAGTTAATTTATACATATTTTGATTAATATTTTTATTCGATCCACTCAAAAATAAATCATTCACACTGAAATTAAAATATTTATAAAAAATAAATCTTTTATAATCTAGTTCTAAAAATTTATCAGAATTTAAATTTAAAACATATCTCTGTTACTACTTTTAGCACTCCTTTATTTGCAAACATCAGATTCACTGCTCTTAGTCTCTTGGTTGCGCAAACCATGACATAATGAATATTTTTTTAAGTGATAATAACATTGCACTTTATAAACATGTCAAATATTATTCTACTAAAATTACATTTGTTTTTATTCTATTTAACTTGCATAATGGAACTTTATCATCGATGCATAAGATTTTCATTGAAAACGAATCCTATTGATTCATTGGGTGGGATGGCGGAGCCGACTAAGAATCAATTCATTTATTCTAAAAAGTGATGGATTAACCCTACAATTGAAATAGATAATGAAAGGGTTAATATTCACCCGTGAAAAACTTTCTTTTTTTTTTTGCTATATTTGAGGCAATTCAAACCGAAACGATAAATAAAGGTTCATTCTAACGCAAAATGCAAGAGATTTTAAATGTTGGATCCTAATTATGAATAGAGATTCTTGGATCAGTAGATCTTGTTAACTTTTTTTTTTTAATGAAAATCACTCTTCCAAGAGTCTCTAACTCTATTAATTTTAGATCCGTGATCAATATATATAAAGCTCTGGTTATATATTCCAAGAATAAGTTATGGTACTAATTTTTTTTTATACCTTATCACAATATATTAGGCCTGCTTTGATTTTTGAGTTTGATTTTTTTATAAAAAAATAATAATATTTTATGAATATAATAAACTAAAAAATTATGTGAGACCAGTAAAAAAACTAAAAAAAAAAAATCCCGTAAAATCNTAAGAAAGAAGGTGAAAATGCCCTTCTTCAAGAACCCCTTTTGAATGGTAGTGCTGGTAACGTTATAGAATCGAAAAAGTCCAGTGGGGGTGAAACTGTGACCCCTTATTCCAGTGCTAGTTTCTTTAGTGTCCTTACTTTCTCTTGGATGGGTACTTTGATTGCTGCCGGCTCCAAAAAAACTTTGGACCTCGAGGATGTTCCTCAGCTTGCCAGTATTGATAGTGTCAGGTCGGCTTTTCCAATTTTGAGAAATAAGGTAGAATCGGACTGTGAGAGTAGTAGTAAAGTGACGACATATGTGCTGGTGAAGGCTTTGATTTTCACGGTATGGAAGGAAATTCTATTATCAGCTTTTCTTGTGCTTGCTTACACATTGGCCTCGTATGTCGGCCCCTACCTCATTGATACTTTCGTTCAATACCTTAATGGTCGTCGCGAATTCAAAAACGAAGGTTATCTTTTGGTTTCTACTTTCTTCTTTGCAAAGCTAGTTGAGTGTCTTGCACAGAGGCACATGTTTTTTAAGCTCCAACAGGCTGGGTTTAGAGCCAGGGCTGCATTGGTTGCCATGATCTACAATAAGGGTTTGACCATTTCATGCCAATCAAAGCAGAGACACACTAGTGGGGAGATCATCAATTTCATGACAGTTGATGCGGAGAGGATTGGTGACTTTAGTTGGTATATTCATGATTCCTGGATGGTGCTCCTACAAGTTGGTTTGGCTTTGGCGATCTTATACAAAAACCTTGGGCTTGCTTCACTTGCTACATTTGTTGCTACTGTAATAGTGATGTTGGCAAATGTTCCTTTGGGGAAGTTGCAGGAGAAATTTCAGGAAAAATTAATGGCATCTAAAGATAAAAGAATGAAGTCGACGTCTGAAATTTTGAGGAACATGAGGATTCTAAAGCTTCAAGGTTGGGAGATGAAGTTTTTGTCTAAAATTGTCGAGCTCAGGAATACTGAGGAAGGATGCCTGAGAAGATTCGTGTACACTTCCGCGATGACCACTTTTGTTTTTTGGATTGCCCCTACATTTGTGTCTGTGGTCNGAGGAAGGATGGCTGAGAAGATTCGTTTACACTTCCGCGATGACCACTTTTGTTATTTGGATTGCCCCTACATTTGTGTCCGTGGCCACTTTTGGTGCTTGTATACTTATGGGAATCCCACTCGAATCAGGGAAGATATTGTCTGCACTTGCAACATTTAGAATACTTCAAGGGCCTATTTATAATCTTCCCGATACAATTTCGATGATTGCTCAGACTAAAGTTTCCCTTGACCGAATTGCTTCATTCCTCCGCCTTCATGACCTGCAGCCGGATGTTATACAGAAGTTGCCGAAAGGTACATCTGACACGGCCATTGAGATAGTTGATGGGAATTTTGCCTGGGATGTGACTTCTCCTACTCCAACTCTCAAAGATATAAATCTCAGAGTGTCTCATGGCATGAGGGTTGCTGTTTGTGGTACCGTTGGTTCAGGCAAGTCGAGCTTAATCTCTTCTATCTTGGGAGAAATGCCCAAAATATCAGGAGCTATTATGCTAAGTGGAACAAAGGCCTACGTTGCTCAGTCACCCTGGATACAGAGTGGGAAGATTGAGGAGAATATACTTTTTGGTAAGGAAATGGACAGAGAGCGGTACGAGAAGGTTCTTGAAGCATGTTCCTTAAAGAAAGACCTGGAAATTCTCTCCTGCGGTGATCAGACGGTTATAGGTGAGAGAGGAATCAATTTGAGTGGTGGACAGAAGCAGAGAATACAGATTGCGCGTGCCCTGTACCAAGATGCTGATATCTATCTATTTGATGATCCATTTAGTGCAGTGGATGCTCATACAGGATCACATCTTTTCAAGGTAACTGCTCTTCACTCTCTGCTCCTAATTAGTCTACAGTTATATTTTTTCTGGGAAGCATTATTCGTATTTGCCTTTTCATTTTGCATTGTTTTCACTGGAATTGGAGAGTTGCACCCAACAGGCGTAGTATGAATAGCATTTCCCCTTTTTGCTCTGTTTGACAAAGATCATTCACATTGTCATGAAAAGGAATCATGGTTTCTGTCTAATTATTACCACACTGATTTGGCCAAGTACTTGTAAAACAATTATTGCTGTATGCATATTATTGGATTGTTGTTTTCCTTGTAGAAGGTTAAAATTAAACTTTTATAGCTGCAATTCCATCTCCTTATGTCCTGCTTTGTTTACTTTGCTCATCTTCCACACTTCTTTTGTATTTAAATAAGGTAAATTGATGAAGTATGCTGTGATAATTGTTGTATGGCAGGAATGTTTACTGGGGCTGCTGGGTACGAAAACTGTAGTTTATGTTACTCATCAAGTGGAGTTCTTACCGTCTGCAGATCTGATCCTGGTGAGCTACTTCTTTGTTTCTTCATTGTCATTGTTGTAATGGACACAACTCACCCAATGCAATACTGTCATCAGGTCATGAAAAATGGGAGAATTACGCAAGCTGGAAAATATGAAGACATTCTAAATTCAGGAAGCGACTTCATGGAACTTGTGGTTGCCCATAAGGAAGCTTTATTGGCGCTTAATTCCGTGGAAACAAGTTCAGGCTCAGAAAAATTTAATATCAGCGAGGAACGAAATGGTATTGGGGGTGCTAAGAAGGTTCTCAAGGACGATAAAAGTGGAGTTGGTCAAAATGGCAAAGCAGATGATGCTGGGGGAGCAAAAGGTCAGCTTGTTCAAGAAGAAGAAAGAGAGAAAGGAAGAGTTGGTTTTTCGGTCTACTGGAAGTATATCACAACTGCGTATGGCGGAGCACTTGTGCCCTTTATATTATTGGCACAATTTTTCTTTCAGCTATTTCAAATTGGGAGCAATTACTGGATGGCATGGGCAACTCCGGTCTCAAGTAATGTACCGCCTCCTGTTGGAAGCTCGACTCTTCTAATTGTCTATGTAGCTTTGGCAATCGGAAGTTCTTTTTGCGTCCTTTCCAGGGCCTTACTTCTTGTGACGGCCGGGTACAAGACTGCCACATTATTGTTCAATAAAATGCATTTCTGCCTTTTTCGTGCCCCTATGTCTTTCTTTGATGCCACTCCTAGCGGAAGAATACTGACCAGAGTAAGTGAAATATGCATGTATTTGTTTGCTTATATAGTTGTTATTATTGTTCTGTTTTATGCTGCCTGATGATTTTACGTACTTTTACAACTCCAGAATTTTACTAAGCGAACCTATGTTCCTCTCACAGGCATCTACAGACCAAAGTGCAGTGGATTTGAACATTCCAGGTCAAGTTGCGTCTTTTGCCTTCTCAATAATACAACTCCTGGGAATTATTGCAGTGATGTCGCAGGTTACTTGGCAGGTCGTCATCATTTTTTTTCCTGTCATTGCCATTTGCATCTGGTTACAGGTAGATTTATAGTCCCTTCTCAGAATCTTATAAAATAATTTCAAATTATTGGGTATTGTTTCGTTGTACCACCAGAGCCTCAAACCTTGTGGGCACATGGATTTGCTATATTCTTGTTATTTTATTTAACCTATGCCTAAGTTGAGGACATCTCTGTTAATGCATGATTTAGTAGTTCCTCATGATCTTTTTATTGCAGCAATATTACATACCATCAGCACGAGAATTGGCACGGTTAATTGGAGTTTGCAAAGCTCCAATTATACAGAATTTTGCTGAAACAGTCTCAGGATCAACTACGATTAGAAGTTTTGATCAGGAATCTAGATTCCAGGACACAAATATGAAATTGATAGATGGGTATTCTCGACCAAAGTTTCACAGTTCTGGTGCAATGGAGTGGCTATGCTTTCGCTTGGATATGTTGTCTTTAATTACATTTGCCTCTTCCTTGGTTTTTTTGATCTCTGTTCCGGTGGGAGCAATTGATCCGAGTAAGTGATTCTTGTTTATCATCCATGTCAAGTATCCTTTGCTTCTGCAATTGTGAATGGTTTGAAGAATACATGACACACTCTCTTTTATCCCCTTGTGTGTTTAAAGGTGTTGCGGGATTAGCAGTAACATATGGGCTTAATTTGAACATGTTACAAGCTTGGGTCGTATGGAATCTTTGTAATCTAGAGAATAAAATTATATCAGTTGAAAGAATACTTCAATACATTTCTCTCCCCAGTGAGCCTCCTCTTGTTATAGAATCTGCCAGGCCAGAGGCAGACGGTCACTGGCCATCACATGGTAAAGTTGACATTCGTGATCTGAAGGTAATTTTGATTCTTTGTTGGAATTCCTCTATGCCAAATTAGTTCTCAAAGTAATATGTAGGGTCATTCATGGGTTCATTCTCCACAATAGATGTCTATATGGATTTTAATAATGCCAAGCATTGATATAGGTGCGATATGCCCCACACATGCCACTTGTGTTACGTGGCCTCACATGCACTTTCCCTGGAGGAAAGAAGACTGGCATTGTAGGAAGGACGGGCAGTGGTAAATCAACACTTATACAGACACTCTTCCGTATTGTTGAACCAGCTGGTGGACACATTTTTATAGATGATATCAACATCTCTTCGATCGGGCTGCATGATTTAAGATCTAGATTGAGCATAATTCCACAGGACCCAACCATGTTTGAGGGGACGATACGAAGCAACCTGGATCCACTTGAAGAGCATACGGACGAACAGATTTGGGAGGTGGGCATGGCTTTATTTGATGTTTATACTTGTTTGGAACAAAAAGAATATGCAAATGTCCGGGATTGATTTCATAATTCTGTAAATATGCTGTTAAGGCTGCGTAGTTAACTAATTTTCATTTGTTTAGGCTCTCGATAAGTGCCAGCTTGGAGACGAGGTTAGGAAGAAGGAAGGCAAACTTGATTCAGCAGGTTTGCTTTATTTCCACTTTCACATAAACTCCATAGATTTCTTTAACTCCTATAATCACTGGAATTCTTATTTCTCATTGTTCCTGTGATTTTTTCAGTTAATGAGAATGGAGAGAATTGGAGTGTGGGTCAAAGACAGCTGGTCTGTCTTGGCCGTGTTCTACTGAAGAAAAGCAAGGTTTTGGTGCTTGATGAGGCAACAGCATCAGTTGATACAGCGACTGATAATCTGATTCAGCAAACCCTGAGGCAACACTTCTCCGACTCCACAGTCATAACCATTGCACATAGAATAACATCTGTGCTCGACAGTGACATGGTCCTACTATTAGATCTTGGTTAGATCACATTCAGCCTTCAGTACATATTATTATCTATCCTTGAGGCTTTGGAGTAAAATCATCTTGATTTTTTCATTCTTCCTCTGGTGCAGGATTAATCGAGGAATACGATACTCCAACCAAGTTGCTGGAAAACAAGTCATCTTCGTTTGCTAGGCTCGTAGCAGAGTATAGTGTGAGATCAAAATGATGATGACCATCAAGTTGTAGTTATGTTCTCAGGTACAATTTGCCCCAATGGATGGGGCATCTTCTATGTTCCAAATTATTCTCCTATTTGAGTGTATGTGACGTGTGGAAAGCCAACTTATACGTGCGTATATGTTCTACGCAAGATGCGTTATGAATAATCAATAAAGAATTGGTACCGAGTATTATTATGTTGGTAGAGATGAGTTTGACAGGTTTTAAGAATTTGCTTGGGCATGTTTGGGATAGAGAAGATATGTATGGTGGTTTTTCTTTTTCTTTTTCTTTGTTAACTGATTTTGGTCTTGTTTTATGGTATGCATGTTTACATAGAAAAACTAAACGGCACGCCACTACCCCCACATAGTCCAACTCACGTGCTTCATTTTTTGTTTTTGGGGCGTTTTGTCAAGCACATGGATAGAAAAATGCATGANTACCCCCACATAGTCCAACTCACGTGCTTCATTTTTTGTTTTTGGGGCGTTTTGTCAAGCACATGGATAGAAAAATGCATGAAAAATTGTAAGGCGAGAAAATGACAGGAAACTTTCACTCAAATGGGGTATATGATGGGGGACAAAGATTTTTGGAGTAGGGCAATTTACATGGTACTGTGCCACTACTAGATTCCAAGGTGGCCCAATTTGCCAATCAGCTAAGTGATTCTGAATCTTTGAGTCTAATTACGGTAATGAAAAATAAATATTTTTTTCAATCAAATAAAACAAGGCACGTGTAAACTTTTTGTAATTTATAATTCTATTTTATTTTATTATTTTTAAGATCAACGGATACAAACAAATCAAGATACCATTTACAATTAACAATGAATTTCAATATAATAATACCACCATCTCAGTACTTAATGCTAGTATTACTATTTTCTATTACTAAAGTAAGCTACAGAGCTGCTGGAGGGAGGGAGGAAGAGAGAGAGATTCTTTGTTTGGTTTATATCTTAAAGTATTCGAAACAGTTTTTAGGAAGAGTNCGGATACAAACAAATCAAGATACCATTTACAATTAACAATGAATTTCAATATAATACCACCATCTCAGTACTTAATGCTAGTATTACTATTTTCTATTACTGAAGTAAGCTACAGAGCTGCTGGAGGGAGGGAGGGAGGGAGGAAGAGAGAGAGATTCTTTGTTTGGTTTATATCTTAAAAAATAGTATTCGAAACAGTTTTTAGGAAGAGTTTTGAAAATTATTTTTGCTATTTTTTATGTCGCAGAACTTGTTTGGTTATATGATTCAAAAAATAGATCTACGACATAAAAATCAGTAAAATTTATTTAAAAAATAATCCAAAAATAATAAAAATAGTAATGTGGTGGTGGTGGGAGTGTGTGTGGTTGGTCGTGGTGATGGTGAAAGGGTGGTGGAAAAGTGGTGGTGGAAGTGTGGTGGTTGTGAAAGTGTGGTGGTGGTGGTGGTGGTAGAAGTGTGGTGGTGGTGGTGATAGTTTCTAAATTTTGAAAAGTTTATTTTTAAAATCGCACAAAATTTCTTTAACTTATTTTTTATTTTATTCTCAATTTAAAAAAAAAACCAGTTAAATAACTTGTTTTTCCAAAATTGTTTTTAAAAATAAAAAATAATTTCTGAAATACAAACCAAACATGACATACTTTTTTTCTCATTTTTCATTTATCCATTTTTCTTCGGACCAAACATGTTAATCTATATAATAAAACACATAAGAAATTGAATTTTATCTCTTATAAGAATTATCATATCACTTATTTCTATAACATGTTCAATCATTTAATATTTGATTAATTTATAATTTAACATATTTTTTTCAGTTATTATCTATACNTGCTTGGGCATGTTTGGGATAGAGAAGATATGTATGGTGGTTTTTCTTTTTCTTTGTTAACTGATTTTGGTCTGGTTTTATGGTATGCATGTTTACATAGAAAAACTAAACGGCACGCCACTACCCCCACCCCCACATAGTCCAACTCACGTGCTTCATTTTTTGTTTTTGGGGCGTTTTGTCAAGCACATGGATAGAAAAAATTGTAAGGCGAGAAAATGACAGGAAACTTTCACTCAAATGGGGTATATGATGGGGGACAAAGATTTTTGGAGTAGGGCAATTTACATGGTACTGTGCCACTACTAGATTCCAAGGTGGCCCAATTTGCCAATCAGCTAAGTGATTCTGAATCTTTGAGTCTAATTACGGTAATGAAAAATAAATATTTTTTTCAATCAAATAAAACAAGGCACGTGTAAACTTTTTGTAATTTATAATTCTATTTTATTTTATTATTTTTAAGATCAACGGATACAAACAAATCAAGATACCATTTACAATTAACAATGAATTTCAATATAATACCACCATCTCAGTACTTAATGCTAGTATTACTATTTTCTATTACTGAAGTAAGCTACAGAGCTGCTGGAGGGAGGGAGGAAGAGAGAGAGATTCTTTGTTTGGTTTATATCTTAAAGTATTCGAAACAGTTTTTAGGAAGAGTTTTGAAAATTATTTTTGCTATTTTTTATGTCGCAGAACTTGTTTGGTTATATGATTCAAAAAATAGATCTACGACATAAAAATCAGTAAAATTTATTTAAAAAATAATCCAAAAATAATAAAAATAGTAATGTGGTGGTGGTGGGAGTGTGTGTGGTTGGTCGTGGTGATGGTGAAAGGGTGGTGGAAAAGTGGTGGTGGAAGTGTGGTGGTTGTGAAAGTGTGGTGGTGGTGGTGGTGGTAGAAGTGTGGTGGTGGTGGTGATAGTTTCTAAATTTTGAAAAGTTTATTTTTAAAATCGCACAAAATTTCTTTAACTTATTTTTTATTTTATTCTCAATTTAAAAAAAAAACCAGTTAAATAACTTGTTTTTCCAAAATTGTTTTTAAAAATAAAAAATAATTTCTGAAATACAAACCAAACATGACATACTTTTTTT